TGAAACAGTGAATCACTCTTCATTTTCTGATTTTTCAGGATTTCCCACAAAACTGAGTCAGGTGTCTCAGTGAACAACCCCCCTTTGATTGCTCCCTGCACTGGGGAGCAAGTGGAGGGCTCTCAGTGCACTCAGCTCTTCTCCAGTCCCAACTCCATCTGTTCATACCCTGTACAACTCTCTGGAGTCACCACATTCACCTGCTCTGTTACCTTCTCTTTCCTCTCAATGAAGGTCACATTTTTATTCAGGGTAGTTTTTCCTGATTGTCCTTTAGGAGCAGGTTTGTGATGAATCAAAATAAACCACTTTTAAAACGCATTAAATATAGGTTGCACCAGTTTAATTAGGATAAGTTTAAATGTCTCCTGAAACTAAACCAGTGCATATTTCTTCAATAAAGTGGCCAGTAAAATACTGAAAGCCCAAAGGTGTGGTCAGGATGTATGAGCAGGAGATGGTGCAGTAAGTGAATGGGAAAGTACAGCAGTGGTTATGAAAGGCAGCATTAAATGTACACAAGGTCTATACATCAAAAATTTGCTTAGCAAATGAGTATTGCTTTTGTGGAGTGCTACAGCTGAATTAAATTTGGATTTTTAACAAATGTTTCTACCTGGAAATTTAATTAAAACATAGTAGATGCTGTGACTCAATTTGCTATTGCACAAGTAGAAAGAATAATAATTTGGGTTGGGGAAAATATCAATCTATCCAATACTACTATGTTATGATTCACACATTTTATTGATTTTATCAGAGAACATTTAATTAATCCCTCAGTTGCCCTGATCCTAGACTTCATTTGCATACCACCATCTCCAGAGCTTTCATAAGAGAAAGGAAAGTTAGACATGTGATTCTGCAATTAGTACTGACTATGAAACAAATTTTAATGTCCATTTTTCTGTGGCATTAAACTGGGTGTTTCCATAAAAACCACCCTGGAGGAAACTTTATTGCTTTGTAACTTCAGAAGATAAAAGTCACCTTCCCACCAGAAGGAGAAAATGGCAAGTATTAAATTTTTAACAGATATTTGTGGGTGGAAAATCTATAAAACATTTATTGGTATTTCTTCCCACTCACCTCTTCTAAATTGAGCCATTTTATATATATATATATATATAAACACAGAGTAAGGAAGTATAATAGAATGTTTTCTTTAATAAAACATGATGTACAGTGACTCACACTGGACTGCTTTCAAGTCAAGAGGTGAGGACACACCTAAGAATGTCTATAAACTTGCTGCTGAAAGTGGTTTTGGGCTTGAGCTTTCACATAAGAGAACAAGAGTTCTAGTAAAGCACAGAATCTCTGTGAACTTTTGTATTCATTCTTCTACTATAAAATTATTTTTCAAATATTCACATGTGTTTCATCATAGAAAACGTTTCTGAGCATATTTATTGCTCTTTCATTTTTAGGAGTTATATATGTAAAGAATATAGAAAAAAAATCAAAGATAAAGAATGGTCTTTAGGAAAGTTAACTTCCAACCATGGTTTTAAAATTGCCTGTGAAAGAAAATCCACCCCAGAACTTGTTGAGCTGCTCTTCAGCTCTCTACACTGCTAAACCCTGTGCCCTGTTTCCAGCCCAGGTTTGTCATTAATAACTCAGTACACAATAGGATCCCTCTGCCATGTTCAGCTGCACAGTGATAACAGGTCACAGAGACAAACAGCTTCTTGTCTTCTAAAGAAGGGAAAGTGCTTAGAAAGGAGCACTATTTTCCTGGTTATGTGTTTCTTTCAAATACACACTTTCAGTGCCTTCAAATATACAATTCAACTACCTTAAGTTTAAATTTAACATCAAGATGGTACCAACCAGGTTCAAATAAGATTTTGAGATAACTTCTTAAAATGAACTTACGGAACTCTTTACCTCTATTATTGAAATTTACTTTACACTATAAAAATATTCCTTTAACTGCTGATTTTAAGTATGACTTAGAAATGATAAATTCCCAAAATTGGAGAGCACAAAGATGACTAGAGAACAAGCAGCTGTCCTAGGAATAGCATAGAACTGTTTAGGTTGAAAAAGACCTCTGAGATTCCCCCAGCACTGCCGAGGCCACCACAAACCCATGTTCCCAAGTGCCACATCCACACATCTTTAAATCCCTCCAGGGATGGGGACTCCACCACTGCCCTGGGCATCCTGTTCCAGCACCTGACCACCCTTTCTGTGAAGAAATTTTTCCTAATTTCCAACCCGTGGCACAGCTTGAGGCCATTCCCTCTTGTCCTGTCCCTTGTTCCCTGGGAGCAGAGCCCAAGTCCCACCTGGCTCCTCCCTCCTGTCAGGGAGTTGTGAGAGTGAGAAGGTCCCCCTTGAGCCTCCTTTTCTCCAGGCTGAGCCCCCCCATCTCCCTCAGCCCCTCCTCATAAGATTTCTGCTGTAGACCCTTCACTAAACCCAGGTCAATTGCTTGGAAGGCAGAATGTGTTTAAATTCAGTTTCGTGTATCTCAGTTGCAAAGGAATTTCATTTTTATATATGTCTTGTAGAAATTTTGGAGCTCTTCAAGTTAGTTGTAAATACTTCTCTACTCACCTAGACAGGACTTGATGGAGAGGCTCAGGAATATTTGACATCAAGAAGGCTACAATTTAACCCTTAAGTTTTTCAAGGGGGTTGTTTTCTATTCCTAACTTTTTTTTTTTTTTTAATTCGTTCTAGCCAACTTCTGTGTTCCAGAAACTTGCAAGTTGTTTCAGAAAAGAGCATCCAGCCTGTTCAGCCTCCAGAGGAGACACTGGGAGGGGACCCCATCCATGTCTGTCAGTGTGTGCAGGGAGAGAGTAGAGGATGGAGCAGGCTCTGCTCGGGGGGCCCAGCAATGGCACAGGAGGAACGGGCAGGAACTAATGCCCAGGAAGTTCCACCTGGACAGGAAGAAGAACTTCTTTGCTGGGCAGTGACCCAGCCCTGAACAGAGACCAGAGAGGGCGTGGAGTCTCCTCACTGGAGATATTCCAGACCCATCTGGACACAATCCTGTGCTGTGTGCTCTGGGATGACCCTGCTGGACCAGGTGACCCACTGTGGTCCCTTCCAACCTGACCCACTCTGTGATTCTGTGAAAAATAAAACTCTGATAGTTTTCCACTTGAATTCTCTCCTGAAATGCTCATTTACTGTGTCCTGAGCTCAAAGATATGTCTATTTCTATTTCCTGTTCCAACCACACGAGCTTGGAACCCTAATTCTATAAATGGGAGTCTTCAACTGCAGTTTTGAGAGGCAGATGAGGGAAGACTTAGGAAGTTATTCACCAGAAGCAAAGCCACGTGACTCTTTGGGGCAAACGGTTGTATTTCAAGGTATTCCTCTTCCCCTTCCCTGGGCTGTCACGTCAGAACCACCCTTCCTTCCTCCCTTCCCCTCCTGCTGTCCCCTCTCTCCATGAACCAGGGATGCCCTGTGACCTCCCCCACCCACATCTGAAGCAGATACATCTCCCTCTGTGAGGAGGCAGGAAAACCAGAGCTGATCCTGCAGGCTGTTTCCAGGCTCTCCACCTCCTCCAGCAGATGTCATTTTGCCCTGGTTCAGAAGCAGCCACACCAGCCTCTTTCCTTGTAACAGAATATCGGTGTCTTTGTTACTTTTCTAAAGAGTAGCTTTACTTGAGCTGAGTTACAAATGCAAATTGTCTGCAGTGGTCTCCCATGGACTTGATATGGTTTATCAGTCATTAACTGCAGAACTTTGCTACAAAGTCTTTGAAGTAGTCCAGGACATGCTGGAAGTGATTACAGTAAATCTCCCCGGGCACTCAAATTCTCCATGACTTTACAGTCAGTTCAACTTGGGCACAAAGTTCCCAGGACTCTATTCTGGCTCCCATTTAGAGACACACAGGCCCTTTCTGGAAAAACCTGGCTTGTTATTGCATTTCAAAGCCCTATTCTGAACAAAATACTTGCTGAATCTTTGCAACATATTAATGTCCAGTAGCTGCAACAAAAGCTACTAAGTCCCCTTTCCAGAGGTTGGTCTTTGTTGTGTTGTTTTCCAGGCTGTAAATACAAAAAGGGGGCCTGTACCATGTTTTAACAGGCAAAGCTTCCAGCAGAAGCCTTGTGATTTTTATTTAAGATGTACAAATTGACTGCAATCTCAAAATCGTGATTTTGTGTGTGTGTGTTTACCTGTACTAAAAGGGTATTTTTTTCAGGATGAATTCCATTCTTTGGTCGAGATTTCATCCACAGTTGTGTTACTATTGGCTGGCAAGATCTGACTCACTCAACACCATCAGCAGAGTAAAACGGGATCCCTGTGAAACACACACCCGTGTTATCCCCACCTACACTCCTGCAGTTCTCCACACGGCTGCGTCCTGAACTTGTACAAACCGCTTCTAAAATCACTGGGATTTGCCATTCCAGGCGGCTCGGGCCCCTCGGACACCCCGAACCCCAAATCCCCAAACCTGCCGGCACTGCAGGTGCAGTGCTCACGGGACGGGGCCGGGGAGGGGGGACCCGGGGGCGGCCGGGGGCAGAGCCGGGCGGGGTAAAACCGGCCCGGGCAGAGCCGAGCGGGGCAAAACGGGACTGGGCAGAGCCGAGCAGGGCAAAACCGGACCGGGCAGAGCCGAGCAGGGCAAAACCGGACCGGGCAGAGCCGAGCAGGGCAAAACCGGACCGGGTAGAGCCGGTCGGTGCCGCTCATCCCGGCCCCGCCGCCCCCCCGCTCCGCCGGTGCCGGTCCAGTCTGGTCGGTGCCGGTCAGTCCAGTCCGATCCGATCCGGTCTAGTCTAGTCTAGTCTGGTCTGGTCCGGTCGGCGCCGGTCCGGCCCGGTCCGGTCCGGTCTGCTCGGTGCCGCCCAGCCCGGCCCCGCCGCTCCGTCCGTGCCTCTCCCGCTCGGCCTCAATGGCCGCCCCACCCGGCGCGGCCCCGCCCGGCGCTCTCGCGAGAAGTGCGCGGTCCCGGCATGCCCCCGGCGGGCCGGGCGGGGGGGCGAGCGAGGCGAAGGCGGCGGCCATGTTGGGAGCCGCGGGGCGCGGGCCGTGCTGAGGCTCCGCCGGGGCCGCGCTGGGCGCTGCGTTTATCGGGGAGCGGCGCTCGGGGCCGCGCAGGAACAGCGCCTGCCGCGCCTCTGCGCCGGGGTCGCTGGGCGGCCGGTGCCCGGCTGGAGGAGCGCTCGGCGGGGGGGGAGGAGGGGTGTCCCTGACCGAGGAGCAGCGCCATGAGCGGGGGGACGCCCTACATCGGGAGCAAGATCAGCCTCATCTCCAAGGCCGAGATCCGCTATGAGGGGATCCTGTACACCATCGACACCGAGAACTCCACGGTGGCGCTGGCCAAGGGTAAGGCCGCGGGCGGGAGCGAAGCGGGCGGGAGCGGGGGCGGCCGGGGCTGAGGGGCTGCTCGGAGCCCTCCTCGTCCCGCCGCCTCCCGCCGGGGCGGCTGCGGTGGAGGGGAGCGAGGGGCTGGGGAAAGAAGGGCGGCCCCGCTCCCCCGGCCCCGCGGAGCAGCCGGGAGCGGGGCCGGGCCGACGCCGGGCTGAGGGTCCCGAACAGAGCGCAGGGACGGAGCCCTCGGCAGTGGAAGCGCTCCAGAGTTAGTGCGTAAAAGGGAGAAGGAGGGGGAGGCTGCGAAGAGGTTTTCTCTGCATCGTAAGAATTCCAGACCTGCAGGGTTCCAGGGCCGCGCGCCTCGGCTGTGCTGCATCCTGGGACAGCCGGGGCCGAGGGGAATCCCGAGCGCTGGGCTGGCGGCAGGGAAGGCTGAGCCTGAGCTCTCGGTTTGGGAGGTATCTGTATGGCGCTGCATAGTTCGAAATGGTGTGAGGCTGTATCGGCCAGAAAATATATGTATACACATACGTATGTACGTATAAGAAAGTTAGAAGGATGTGTTTAGTGAGAAGAGAGTTGGGAAGAAAAGAAAAAGAGAATCTTTGATACTGGGCATCCGAAGGATTTCGCTGTTTCTCGAGCGTGATAATGCACTCTCAACATAAAACATCGAGTCAGAACTGTTAGTCAGAACCTCTTTGTAATGGACTCTGCAAAGCTCAGTAGAGTTTTACTTTAAATTTCTTGCTTCTGCAAAGTTTTGCTAAATCATCTAAATGCATATATAAAAGCGGAGAATTTATCCAGCTGTAGTATAAATGAAATATTTTGGACAGGGCTGATACGAAAGGCTTAGCGGCGGTCTGTTTGACACGGCTGGCGGATACCGTGTGCTGTGTTCGCTTTCGCTGGCCGTTCTGGGAATTCTCGGTTGTGCGCTGTGGTGCTTTAAGGCCTCCTCCCCCCCCTTATTGTTTAAGAAATATATTACTTTGTTTTGTAAATTCCTATACGTGGGCTTTGAAACACCTTTCAGTAGGTTTGGTCCCAGGCTTGCATTTCGTTTATGAGGCACTTAGCTTTTGTTACGTGACTTTTACTTGTTTCTAAAGTTGCCTTTAGGTTAAATTACCTTGCTGGAGTCGCATTAGCTACTTTAAGAGGACAGCTGGTATTGGTTTATATGAGAAAAAGATGAACACTGTGATTAAAAATAAACGTCCTGGGATTCCAGTTGCATGCTGTGATTGTTAAGGTTTGTGCAAAAGAACTTGGAAAAAGAATCCCATCCTCGAGGATCTTGTGATAATCTTGTCCAAAATAGACTGATTTAGTGCTGACCAAGCCAATTTTGCATGACATCTTAAGAGTGGTTAAGTCATGTTGTGGCATATCTGCCAAAGTGTACATATTTATGACAGATCAAACTACAGTTACAAGTCTAATCTGCTCTCTTCCCATAGCTCTCATCTCAAATGTAAATCCAAACCATTACATTTGCTTTAATAAAACTTGGCTGAGTTAGCTGAAGAATGTGTGTTTTGTAATATAGCGTCATGATTCAGAAGAGAATAAACCAGTATTTCTAGGCCCCATGGAACTAAAAATCTTGAGATTAATCTGGAGCTGATAACAACCACATTAGACTGTAGAACAGTTTGCTGTGCTCAGGAGCAGAATGCTCGGCTCTGGAGTACTGGAGTTTCTGAAGGCTCAGGTCATTGAATGGATGTGACAGGGTACATGTAGGGTGGCAAATGTGCTTAACCATGGCCAGGTCTGTATGTGAAAGCAGCAGAACTTCCTGTGCAGCTGTGAATAGTTACCTCTTCTTCCTGTGCTGAGTCCAGGAGTCAAACTAGAACTGTTTAATGTGGATCTTTACCACAAATGTCAAACTTTCTGCCAGAAGGAGGCAAAAAAAGCCCCAAAAGACGATGCTTTCACTTGCTCAGCTGTGTAGATTGTGTGGCATGTCACTGTTACCCAGATTGAGTGCAGGACAGCGTATCATTATTCATATTCTAAATGAATTCACTGAAATTGTGACATAAAGTGCAAAAGTAGAGGTAGAATCTGTTCCTGAATAAGTGCAGATTTGCCCAGCAGTAGGATTTGTGCGAGCTAAACTAAAGTCAGAGATTAATCTCATGAAGTTGTGCTCGTGGAATGCCCTCATTTATCTTAAATTGTCTGAGGTTTCAGACAGAAATAAGATCTTTGGGTTGCCAGCAGGGACTGTAGTCCTCCCTCACTGAGAGCAGTCTGCTCTCCTTCCCTCATCAGCATTTTGTTTACCAGGCTGGGATCTTTTCACTAAGCAAAACTTGTGGCCTGTGTCTCAGGAGTTAGAGGAAGAGAGCAACTGTTAAATATTGAGCATAATATTTCTGTCCTACGCTGGAGTCTGAGCAGGGAGATCGATGCATCCTTTCCCAAAATGTTGGAGTGTGTGGTTATTTAAACAGCAGGGAAAACGCCCAGGCACACTGGATTCCAGGCATTGAGCAAGCTATGCAAGTATTTGAGGTTCTTAAATAATATTGGCGCATATGTTTGCTTTGGATTGCCAGCTTTTCAGAGACAGTGTCTGGAACCAAAACCACTCAACTCCTATTGTCAAGCCTCGAGTTAAATTAACTTGAAATGTCTTTCCAGTTCATGGTTCTAATTAATACTTATTTCTTTTAAAAAAGCGTTATTAATTTTTAAAATATCGTTAAGTCCAACCAGTTTAAGAAGAGAGTTTGCAAGCCATGGATAGTTTTCTTGCTGGAAAGTGCTGCCCTACCTGGGGCAGCTAAAAATGATTGTGGTGCTTGATCTTAAATGTGGCATTAAAAATGAGGTGTGATCTCTCATACTCTAATATTTTTCTATTTCAAAGCACTAATTTAGAGAGAGTGATTTTTAATGCAGGTAAGCTGTGTAAGAATATCCGTGTTGGGTTGGGAAAAGCTTTGTTCCTTTCAACAATAGGGAATCCTTAGGCATGAGAGTATAAGAAACAGAAAATTATATGTTGTCTCTCTGGTATAATGGATCAGTTGTCACTTTTCAGCTGTTGCACCACTGAGAGTTGCATTTGGAACAATTATAATTGATAGACATTAATGAAATAGCTTTTGGTAAATTAACAAGTGGTTAAACTTCTGGTATTTCTGGCATTTTCAACCATCTGTGGTAGTGTTTTCCATGGTATAACCACACATCAAAAGAAAAACTTTCCTTTTAGACTTTTACACAATATTAATTGCAGGTGAAAGACTAGGAAATATAGACAGAAGATAATTAAATTCTTGTGAAGACCTGAGCTGCTTTTTATCATTCAGGGGTGGGAGCGGGAAAGGGAAGGGTTAAATTTTTATCATGTTTTTTATAAGTTGATTTTTTTAGTCAGTTAAGTGTCATGCTCCCTGCATGTCTGGAGTTTTAGTGCATGTGTGCCAAACCAAACCTGTGCACAGTGTGTCCCAGCAGAAAAATTCCTCTGGTCAAAGCCCACTCCTGGCTACTGCCCTCACCTCCATGTCCTGCAAACCCAGCAGGCCAGGAGTGAGGGAACATGGGCTGAACTGATTTACACTCCTGTACTGTGGTGTGCAGGGATCAGAGCGTGTTCCCAGGGGAGGGGTCGGGGTGTTTTGAGGAGAGATGGCAATGGGAATGACTTGCTCACTTGTGGTGGTCTCATTTTAATTGTCCTGCTTCCCCTGGGTTCCTTAGGAGTGGGGGGAGCTGTCTGAGTGTGTGTTTGCTGCCCGGGAGGGAGGGGAGCAGAGCGTCAGTGCTGTGCACAGAGACTGAAATCATTCACATTATATGAGAACAGGGTCTTCTTGCTAGCAGAGTGAATGGCTTGGCTTTTGAAGAACATTCTGCTTAAATCCCCTGTGTGAATCAGCAAGTAATCATATCTGCTAAGTGATAGGGCAAGTTGCAATGTTGCCATTGAATTCTACAGTAGTGTAATGTGGTAATATACGTTAAAATATTGTAGTGACATAGTCAAAATCTGTACAAAAACTTGCTCACAGCACTTTAATATGAAATTGGTGGAACTACTTGGGTGCAAGTACATACATGAATCCTGTTGGGCTTAACAGGGTGAGTTTCTTTGTAACTAGCTACTTAATTGTATTTACACTGGTAAAAAAATAAGTTTGCTTTTAGCGTGGTCTGGTTGCCTATTTGTTTGTAAGTCCCTAAGCCAGTTTAGCTCTTTAAAAAACCAAAGACCAAACCTGAAATTGCCAAGGTGAGATTACTGGTTTTGCCACAGTTCTGGGGTGAGTTGTAAGATTGTGTTGCCTTTCACATGCTTGTTTTCATTTTCTCTCTCAGTATTTTGCTATAGATGAACCACTGAGCCTTGTTCTGGAGGAAGGAGGGAGTCTGAGGGAATACCCCCAGAGACAGGGCTAGAGAGAGCTCCAAGCTCTCCCAAAATCTTGTGATTTTGATACTTAGTATTTCTAATTATGCAAAACCATGGTGAAAGCTATTTCCTTCTAAAATGCTATTGTACTGGCCACCTTAATATTAGACTTTTTACTTTAATGAGCTCAGATTATGCTAAATCCTAATCCAAGCTGGAAAAGGAGAAACTGTAAAGGCAGCTATGCCTTTGGAAAATACTAAAAGTAGCTTTCAACTGCTTGTGTTATAATACTCTCTGAAGGGCCTGATTGGGTAGACACTGCAAAAGCATTGAGTAGCCCCTTTTAGATCACTGCCCATGAAGTTCTGGTTCCTGCTTTAGAAGGAAATCAGACTTGGGGTGGTTATTTTTGTTGCTTGGGGTGGGAAGGCGAGGCTGAATTGCAAATCAGAGGAGTTTGCTCACCCCTCTCCAGCAGAACAAATCTTCACTGGATGAAATTGGGTTTGTATTTTGCAGAAAGTTATCCTAAACCCAGTTTGATTTGGGGAGGGGAAAGGTAGAGGAAAAAAGCCAAACTCTTAATAGCAAGTCTTGATGTGTTTTCTGGCTAAACCACTGTTGACCTTCTCAGTGTCTTGAGCTACCTGTATAGACAGCTGAATCTCATAAAGATAAATTCTAAATTTTGGCATTGAAAATACTTCCTTTTGGTGTTATGATGATTTTATGTTGGGGAAAAAGACAAATTCTTTTTGACACACAGTAAAATCCCTTTACCTCTTTTGAGCTGTCATTTAGGTGAAAGGTTGTTCACTTTTTTTGATTGGTTTAGGATGGAGAAAGGTGATTGCCAGGTGTTAAAACTGTTCCTCTATGTGACATTGGTATTAATGTTAAAATACTTACCCCGTGCAGCATAGCTCTGACTTAAGAGAAATACTTTCAAAGCATATTTCTTCCATAGTTCATCAGATTTTTATTTCCATGTAAAGGTAAGATGCAATCCTCTAACTTACTGCCCCTTTTTTGTGGTGTTGCTCCAGGGTAGTTCCTTCACTTTAGCTAGAAAGTAAAAACTTTGATAACTTACTGATCACACTCTGGCCATTTTTGTGCACCTTTGTAGACAAACCAGAGAGAAGCAATACAAAAATCAACTTCAGTTTTACTTACCAAGACAGCAGGTCGAATGATGGAATGAAAGTCCAAGTTAATTTATTAGTTATCTAATAAATAGAATATAGGATGGCCAGAGAGTGAGGGTGGATCCATGGTCAGGACAGTGAAATGGAAAAGCCTGATGAATAAAAGCAATGGAATGAACTGTAGTAATGCACATGACCAGTTGATAATGTTATTAAGCATTACCTTGAGTTAATTTCTGCAAATTAAGCTTCAGGTATCTTTTTCTGTAGAGGAAGAAGAGGAGACATTTCTTCTGTAACAAGTATTGACATTCATTTAACAGAATGTGCCTTTTTACAGCACTCACATTTTACAGGACCATTCAGAGGAGACTTTCAGATGCACAGAAATAGAAAAGTTGATTAAAGTCAGCTCAGTAGATGATACAAGAATGAACAAAATAATTGTAACCACTTAATGTTATTATTTTTCGTTGTAGTGTGGACATGATCTTTTTACCCCTTAATTATACTTCTCAAAAAGGTTTTTAGTACTTGACTGTTAAGCTCTGTTTCTGCAGCATTACAAGAAGCAACAGTGATGGAAGATGGTTGGTGCAGCCTGAGAAATGACTCAGTGTCACTTCATACAGCTCTTGACTAATGGTTTTATGGCTGCAAATAAGTGCCTAATGATGTCTCCAAAATGTTGATTCATCTGAAAATGAGGGAAATCTAATTCTGGTAAATTAAAGCAAAATATGGATTTTTCTCAGCATTATCTGTCGTACCTTACAAAGCAAACACTATCTAAAAGGCTGGAGCAAAAACAGTCATGAGGGATTGTTAAAACTGCTGCAGGTTGATGAGACTGTGAATGTGATTGTCATGATTTTGGGGTATTTTCGTCTGTAGTTTTGATTTATTGTTAAGTTTTTGCTTACAAAACTCTGGCTCTTGAAGACATATCTCTTCAGCTGATTTTTTTTTTGTTTCTCTTGATACTTACTGAGGGTTTTAAGGTGAGGAAAAGTCTTTGGGAAGGCAGTGACAGTAAAGTGATGGTATCAATTACACCACGTACATGGTGATTATATGTAGTGCAAAAGGAGGAGCTTGATAGACTTCGTTGCTGTGCAATTGGAAAACTGTTGGAATTCAGCTAAGTACATCCAAATAATTCAGTGTCTTGGCATGCTGCACCCTGTGCAGGCCTCCTTAGGAAGATAGTTATGCCCCAGTGAGTTTGCTTCATTTGACAGAGATCATATGAGCCTTACATCAGCAAGAGAATGCATTTTGCTTAGTGAAAATTATATATGCATACCACAGAATTCCTGTTGTTCTATTAAATGTTGATTTAACCCTTGAATCTACTGAGAAATACTTCACTTTGGATAACTTTTAATATTCTAGTTTCTGGTAGTATTGACATATGTTCTCCTGATTTGCAAGTACAGAATATGAAGTATGTAAACTCATGTATTCCTTGACTCATAGGACTGCCTTACCAGCCAAAAAAACTGCCTTGCTGCTTCCCCTTACCCTCACAAAACAGTTGAAAATGAACATGTAAGTGATAGCATAAGTGATGTCTCAGTCTTTCTACTTGGTTTTTAACCAAAATTTTTAAGATCAAATTACTGAGGAGTTGGTAATGATAGAGAATATGCTGCCTATTTAATAAGGGTTTTTTTTCTCAGCTAAATTTTATTCTGGTTATTTAAAGCTGTTGATCTCGGCATTATGTTTGAAACCTCTGTTGACTGTGGGCTGTTTTCATTGTTCCCTCTGTCCCCAATGTTGCAGTTCGCTCCTTTGGCACAGAGGACAGACCGACGGACAGACCCATCCCCCCTCGCGATGAGGTCTTCGAGTACATCATATTCCGTGGCAGTGACATTAAAGACCTGACTGTCTGTGAGCCACCAAAGCCTCAGTGCTCTTTGCCACAGGACCCTGCTATTGTTCAGGTGAGTCACATCATCTTTTTAGATGTAGCCAGGTAGCTTTAAGTGCTCTCTAGCTGAGTGTTTAAAAATGTTTATTGCTCTAAAGTTCACAACCCAGTGTAAAGAACTCTGGAAAGATTTTCCTCGTTGGAATCATGTCTTTAACAGTGAAATCAGAGGTTGAAATCTAACTCTAGCACAGTGCACTGGATACCAAAGCTGCTGTTTTTTCAGAAATAATTGATTTTTTTATGGATCTTGATGCCTTTTTTGAAAGGGACTTGGCTTAGGAGGACACGTATGCAGGAGTTCTTGGAAAGATCAGACTTGGTAAAGGTCAAATGGAATAGATACTGAAACCTCTCCAAATCACTAGTGATTTTTGTTTGTTTGTTTTTCTTGATTCCAGTGTTCAGCTTCTTTTGCTGACTGACTTAAATGTTTCATCTAGCTGTATGTTTTTATGGGGGCTTCGTACAAAGGGGCAGTTATTTGAAAAGGGAATACTTGGTAGCTGAGGGGAAATCAGTTTACAGCTTGAAGCCTTCAGGATTAATCAGCTTGTTGTTTCATAGTAAATGGACTGGCAGAAATAGTTATTTTTTATCTGGGAAATCTGTTGGCTTATTGATTGTGCTTATGGGGTATCTTAAAATCATCCCTGAGAGCAAGAGGAAAACTCTTGCTTCAAATGGAACTTGATAATTCCATGTAAGTGTTCATGATTCTAATGTTTTAACTATTCTGTAGGATAGAATTCTTGGCCTTTCCTTATGAGGAAGGGCTTTTGTACTTCCTCTAAGAGCTTTTGCTGAATTTGGTGCAACCCAATTTGTCAGTGGTAGTTGAGAGCTGTGAAGTTGCATTGCTGCCAACCCCAATAATAGTGATAACCCCACCTTCCTCAAGTGTGTTTGGGTCTTTTATTGTTCCTGTGGGTTTTGAAACTTCAAGGAAAAAGATAAACACTTTCCAAGTTTGCTAACAAAGCTTATATGTGTGTTTGACAACAGAGTCCAGTCTGTGGTTCTAGGGGAAAGATTGCAAAATTTTGTGGCATTGTTTTCACAGGATGGTGGAAGGGTAAAAGTGCTTTCTAAGCTGTGTGCATGCTTGTGAAAATGCTTTTCAGAGTTTCTCCATTTCTTGTCTCGCAGAACTATTTCCCAGTTTTTGTGTAAGCACGACTTTCTGCTAGTGTGCTGTGTGTTCTGTGTTCAGTCCTCTCTAGGATCCTCGAGCAGCTCTTCGTTCCAGTCGGTGGGCTCGTACGGCCCCTTCGGCAGGATGCCGGCCTACAGCCAGTTCAGCCCCAGCCCGCTCGTGGGCCAGCAGTTCGGGGCTGTTGGAGTCGGTATGTGCCCCTGGCTTCTTTGGGGTTTGCCTGCCCGGGGGTGCCCGTGGGTTGGAATTATCCTGAGGCAGATTGAAACTCTTTGATCCATATCAGTCCTGCAGTTTAGCTCAAAAGCACAGTTTTTCATAGGCTATGCAGCTCAAATCAGTTATGATTGAGAATTAAACACCTATCTCAGAGGGACAAGTGGGGAGAGGTTCCTCTATTCAGGAATTCATTCTATTTTGTATATATTCATTACATTCATCATGTGGTCATTATATTTCACAAGGGACAGAAGCAGGCCCTTCACAAAAGCCCCATCCATAGCTGTGCTGTGACACCTGAACTGAGGGTTTGGATGATTCAGCACAGCCCTCCAGCTGTTAGAGGTGTTAGTTGGGTGTGAAATACTTGCTTGAAGTGTTTGTGAGCTGCATGAGCTGGTGGCTCCTTTATATTCTAGGTGCTCTCTGAGACTTACCAACAAACTTTCCTTCCTGAAAGTTTTGTATTTGACATTTTAGTTTTTCACACAGGAACTCACACTCTTAAAACTGTTACAGCAGAGTGTTACTCCTGGTACTGACAATGTTAGCCATGTGAAGGGAAGGCTGTAGAATTGGCCATAATTTCATATCAATTAATGAGATGTGGCAGTCATTTTCGTTGAGAGGGTGTTAAGTGGAAATATAGCAATAACATCAGTAAGATGCTGTCATGACTGTTTTGTTAATACTTGTGATACTGAAGTTAGAAGGGCTCTTTTGTTTTTTATATTAGATTAAAACAATCAAGATATTACAGTCTTACCAACTTACTGCACATACATATGTTAGGTAGAAGGGCAGACTTATGTGTATTCTAGAATAACTGTCTAATATGACTTCACTAATCACTATTAATTTAAAAAAAAAATGAAATAAAGCCTAAATCAGGTTTTACAACTATATTATTTCTTCCAAAGCAGGAGGTTCTTTAACATCTTTTGGAACAGACTCTTCGGCCAGTGCCAGCATGTCCCAAAGCACTGCAGTTGGTTCTGCATTTACAACAGATGCAAGATCCCTAAAAACACAGATGTCTCAAGGTAAAATCTATTTTAGTAACTTTGCTCTTTTTTGACCAGTGGTGCCCCCATGACTCAGGTGGTTGCCAGAAACGCCAACAAAACAGCTGAATTCTGTCACAAAAACACTTGGTATTAAACCCAGAAAGCACTGAGAGGCTTTGTATTTGCTTTTTAAATGTATTTTTCTACATCTTGGAGTGCTGCATAGGTAGCAAGACATTTGTTGTTATCCTTAAAGCATCTGTACTGAGGAGTAGGACTTATTTCAGTGGAATAATGTTAGCAAATAGGTGCATGTGGAAATTCAATGTCTGGTTTTGTTGATAATATGAAAAAACTCGGGATACTTCGTGCTGATTGAAATGTGAAGTGCTTCAGCTTACAATTTTGAAATCTTTATTCCTAACTGTGGTTTTTGTAACAGCAGACCTGACTGCCTGTAGAGATGCTGACATGACTCAGGTCAGCTTAATAGTAACAGAAACTGTGTGGGTAGTTTGTGCAATTTTGGAAAAAGAAAGTAGAAGCAAAAAGGAAATTTGTGATGATTTTTGAGTAGCTAAGAAAAAAAACAACCTAACTAAACATTGAACACCTTCACCCTCGCCTTTCATGCAAATATGTTAACATTGCTCTTCAAAATCAAAACACCTGCTCTTCCACTCCTCATTGCTGTGAAAGTGTGAGCTAAGATATAATACTAATGCTGGTTTTAAATGATGCAGTTGTGTTAAAAGTCAAAGCACTTAACAGCAAACAGGTTTTTTTCCTAAGTTCCAGCTGAGATTTGTATACCCATTAAGGAGTTTTTAAGACTAGTTGAGTGGGTTGCAAAAATAGGTTCTACTTTGCTGGATTAATTGAAGGGGAGGAAAGTATGACAAGCATTTCTCTGTTGAAAAACTAGCTTGGTTTTCTGTAGTTGAAGTTAAAAGCTGTGTGATTCTTGGAGTTAATATGTGGCATGTGCTCCAGATGAACATACATTCTGCCACAAAATTTCTTGTGGGGCACCAACAGGATTTTTCTGTGTATTTGCTTTTAAAAATATTTTTCCTCTTTGTAGATTACGAGTGTGATGTGGTTGCTTTTATTGGTTGGGTTTGGGGTTTTGTTTTGTTTTGTTGGGGATTTTTTGTAGTTTTGATTTGGTTTTGTTTTGTCTTTTGTTGAGCTTTTGTTATGGGATACAACTTTTACTTCCTGGGACTTGAGTGCTATTCTAATTTCTCAGTAGATTTACCTATTGGATGTTGTAAACTTGCCTGACTGGATCAAATGGCTCCATTCTGGACATGCTTCTGCTCCCAGCCAGTGCTGCAAATGGCCATGTGTGAGCAGCTCCCAGAGCTCCCTCACCTGCAGAGTGCTGGCACCAGCCAGCCCTGGCTGCTCCCTGCCTTGGCAGGGATAACACAGCAGTGCCCTACAGGACATGGATTTCAGTGGTGGAGCTGTATCTCTGCCTTTGGGAGCAACCATTTCCCACTTGCCTTCCCAGGGAGGCAGAAGGTGTATTTTTACCTCCAATCAATGTGGAAAATTTCATGCCACAGCTAAATGCATATCCTGGATGGGTTAGTAGGGATTAATTGTCCCACCCATTTTTTTCTTTTAGGCTGGGGGAGTGGGTATTGCAAAATATCCTTCATTCTGGATTAGTGGATCTGAAGGTGCAGAAAGATTTATTTCTTTGGACACGTGGTAAGGTCTAGATTGCTTGAGACCAGTAAGTCACATTTGTGCATGAGAAATAACTCTTTGGGTTTGGTTTGATTTTTGCCCAGGTCGTTCAAGCCCTCAGATGGATCACTTGAGAAGGAGCCCCACCATGGAACAAGCAGTACAAACAGCTTCAGCCCACCTGCCCACCCCAGCACCAGTGGGGAGGAGGAGTCCTGTCCCAACCAGACCTTTGGTGTCTGCTGGCCAGAAATCCTTGGAGAACCAAGAGCACCGACGAGGTAGCTTGGGCTGATTTTTGTCCAGCTTATTTCCTTCCATACACTTAGGAAGTGCTCTTTTTAAGGGCAACACATAGGAATTTTCCTGATGTCTCTTACTGGTAGACTGGCCAGCAGAGACCTGGATTAGATATATATTCCTTTTTAAAGTCAAGCATATATTCTAAATTAATTTTTTTTTCTTTTATGATTGTAAACTTGTGGTTTACATTTATAGGTTTGGATTTATTTTTTTTTTAATCTGAACTATATATACAAAAGCGTGGTCAAAAATACCTAATTGGATAAACAAATCATTTTTTTATTTCCAACTTTAGCTGAAGCACACAAGGTTTCAAGATCAGAAAATGAACTCAGAAATGAAAACAAACGACAAATTGGTAAATCTTGTTTTGAGAAATAGCTATCGTTGTTTTCAGACTTCATTATTTTTTTTAAATCTGCTAAAATACATAAATTCTTTCACATTTTGTTTCTAGTGGGTAACAGCTTTGCATTGTGTCTGAATAATACAGGCACATAAAGTCATCATGAAAGAGAAAATCTCTTCTGGTTGCTCTAAATTAAGCAATTTGAATAAAAATGTAAACCAAGCAGTATTCATGGATTTATAAACACAATAGCATGAAAGAAAGCCTGTTACCTTTCTACAAAAATACTTGACTGAAAAGCCACTAACATTTTAACTCTTCTTGAAAAGAAAAAGCTTTTAATGACTTCTAGAAAGTCATTTAGTACTATAATGTTTTCTGTGTCACTGCCATCATTATTGTAAGTGAATTTACAAATTCCAAGCTGCTCTGATGGGACTTTTAACAACAGAAGTGCAGGAAGAGGATGCATGAAGTCCCAACCTGTTACCCCAGGAATTAGAGAGCAAAACAAAAAAACCCAACCACCCTCAAAGAGAAACCAATGCCCAAAACAAACCCAAAGAGAATCTCCCTCTTCTCAGTTCCAGGTGCACCCTCAGCACGGAGAGGCCGCGGAGGCCACAGGGGGGGCCGAGGAAGATTTGGTATTAGGAGGGATGGTCCAATGAAGTTTGAGAAGGACTTCGACTTTGAAAGTGCAAATGCACAATTCAACAAGGAGGAAATTGATAGAGAATTTCATAATAAACTTAAATTAAAAGGTAAACCAATTTTTGCTTTATATTTGAGCATGGAAAAACTGTGTCTTGCTGCCTTGGAGAACAACTTTTAAAAGCCATATCCTATTAAGTCTTGTTTGTAGTCATAAAAAGCTTATTAATAAGCAAACTGGGATTATCTATTAATTAAATACTTGGGTCAGTGTTTGAGTTTTGAAGTAATTTTAACTAGCAAATATCGTATGTCAAGTTCTTACAAGTCTGTTTGTTTAAAATGCAGATTACTTGAGCAGAAGCTCCAATAATGTTTGTTACTTTAAAGTTCTGGAAAGGATGAAATAAAAGAAACCCCATGTTTTATGTTTTCAATTATTAGACCAAAATTAAAATATCAATTATAGACCAAAAGCAATGGGAAAAACATGAGTTTGGGATCAGAACTTTGCTGTAGTATGCAGGAGAGTTTTTGTTTGAAAGTATCCAGCATTTTCTTGCTTTTACCCTTTTCCAAAGGAACACAGGAGTAGTTAGAAGCCATTCTGCCAGCACTTGTTTTTTAGCAGGCTTCTGTTTTGATTACCTCATTCTCTTGTGACCAGCCACCTGTTTGTTACTCTGCTGCTCCTATTTTTGGACAAAACTGTTACAGGTTAATACAGGGAGCTCCCTATTCAGTGAATAGTTGGCTAAAAGCTGGGAAACAAAGGGTAGGAATAAATAGTCAGATTTCAGTGTAGAGTAGGAACACCAGCAGAGTCCCATAGGATCTGCCCTCTGGTGCTTGCCTCTTTTTCTGGATCATTTCTAAATGAGTTGATGCTTTGCTGTTAATACTGGGGATGAACAAAACCATGGAATGGCTTTTATGAGGATTGACTGAGTGAGGCTCTTAAATCTGGGAAGGAGGTAGTGAAGAGGGTAGAAAATAGGGCTATCAAATCCCTTCTGCCACAGGTGTTTTTGTTAACTAAACCCCCAGAAAATACAGAGGACATCAAACCCCCAGAGAGCAGCAGCAAAAACATGCTAATTTATGCGTCAAAGTATTTGATTTCTGCATTAAATTATAGGGAGGCTTTTGTAATTTTGAGCATTCAGTATAGCTTCTGTCTGGCAATAAGTTAACAGTGCTGGTTTTTTTAGGCTTCTGTTTACTTTTTCTTTTCTAGAAGATAAACTTGAGAAACCAGAGAAGCCTGTAAATGGAGAAGACAAAGGTGACTCAGGTGTCGATACCCAAAACAGCGAAGGGAATGCCGATGAGGAGGATCCACTTGGACCCAACTGCTACTATGACAAAACCAAATCCTTCTTTGATAACATTTCCTGTGATGACAATAGGTATGGCCTGCAAGGGGAAGCTTGTTAGTCTGCTTAATGCATGTTTGTCAGAAGGTACTGTCAGTGCCACTCGTTACAATCAGCTCTGAATCGAAAGCGATTACAGCTCATTTCCACAGGCAGTGAGCAAAAAGAAAACAGGAACACAAAGCACAGCATTTCTTTGTGGGCAAGTGCAATATGTTAATAGGAAGATATTTTTAAGTTGCTTTAGAGCCACGCTTTTAGAACTTAATGCACAGGCTCTAGAGTGTCCTTTCCAGGTTTACTAAAGGGGTGGTGCGTTTGTTTTGCTTTGCTACTAAATTAACACTTGAGTTAAATCAATTATGGCCCTGCTTTGGTAATGGTTCCTAAGCAGATTATGTAACTGTCTCTGCAGATAGTGTTGTTTGAATGGGCAGATAACGTCGGAGGAAAATTAAAGCTTATCTTTGGCTGTTGCCTCTTTATTAGACGCGAGGATGTGGATTGCTGACCTATTTTGAATTATGGGAGAGGGAGGGGGATTGTTGTACCGACAGCCAGATACTATAACATCTGTAACTATGAACTGTTTTCTTGCTTCAAACGACTCTGCATGAGGAGGGTACAGTGTGCTCTCCTATGTGGGAAACTCTCAGCATTGTTGATACGCAGTTAATGGCCCTGTAACGCGTCCCTTTGTGATGAGTTCAGTGAGCTGTGGCAGACACCTGGATTCTTGCAGAAAGGAGAGATTTACAGCGCGGTTAATGTGTCGTTTGTCGATTCCGGGGCTCTCTGGCAGCGTTCTCCCGGGGTGTTTGGCAGCAGTCCTGTCCCTTTTGTGTGGCAGGGAACGGCGACCCACCTGGGCCGAGGAGAGGAGGTTGAACGCGGAGACCTTCGGCATCCCCCTGCGCCCCAACCGCGGCCGCGGCGGCTACCGGGGCAGGGGCGTCATCGGCTTCCGAGGTGGGAGGGGACGAGGAGGAGGAGGAGGAAGAGGCTCCTTCCCTGCCCCCCGAGGCTTCCGCGGTGGATTCAGAGGAGGTCGTGGAGGCAGGGAGTTTGCTGACTTTGAATATAGGGTAAAATGCTTTTAATATTACTGTGACCCGATCCACCGTGCTTGGAAAGTAGTGGTTAAAAACCTCCTGCTTTTAGATTTGATGTTGAACTAGAATTTCTTGAACAGTGTTTTGCAGGGACTCTCAGCTACTTTATTGAAAGTCCATTAATGCTGAAATTCTGGTTACATAGCATCATCTTATTATTAACAGCAACCAAAAATAAAAGCTGCCTTTTTTTCACATGCCCAATATAGTTACTTGATAGCTGGTATTAGGGGGAGGGAGAAAAAGAGAAAAATAAGTTCTGCAGATTGAAAACAAGTGTTAGAAATGTGAATTGCAAGCATTTTTCTAAGCAGTGTTGTAAAATGTAAAGATTTAGAGGGAGTAATTTAATTTGCTTCCTGTGTGCAACAAACTTGAATTCTTTGTGAATGAGTTGGCAGAAAGCCTATGTAGATTGGTGTACTGGTTAGAATCGTTAACAAGGATAATTAACCAAACTGGTTCAAGTGAAGTAGGCTTTTACAATTCTGACTGGGACAGAACAAATTCTGGTAGTTTACTGCATGAGCAGTTAAGTTTTGCAGACAAAAATCTTTGTTTTCTGTTAGAAGTTTTAAATATCTTTAAGTAAAAGAGAAAAGGAGGTTTCATCACAGCAGATTTTTGAGTGTCCCTCAGGTGTTCCTTCATTAGATTGCAACAATTAGTCCTGTGATTTAAGGAGACTTTTGGCAGCTGGACATGAATGGAAATGAGGGATTGAAGATCAGTGTTTTGAATTTCTGAATAAAAGAGTTTTGCAGCCTCCCAGATGAGTGGGAGGTGGTGTAAAGGCTGCGGGTTTGTGCCATGTAGCCAGCGAGGAGCTGCTCCTTGGTGTGTGCCAGCCCTGGGGGGGTTTGAGTGGGTGCCAGCTGAGCACCCAGGGAGGTCTCCTTTCTGCTGCAGGGGGTGGGCAGTGGCCTCCACAGCTCATCTGCTCCCAGGGCTGCTGCCCAGATCAATCTGTGGGGGTTGTTTTGCAAAATGAATTTTAACATGGTGCTTTTGTTCCCTCCAGAAAGACAACAAAGTTGCTGCGTAGTCTACAAGAAAGCTGAAACCGGGTGAACGTCTAGATCTTCTTGATTCAGAGAATTAGTTTTGATCTCTGCAGAGAATGAAGTTAATTTGCTGTATACTTGTCACCAGCACTGGGATTTAACTATTTAATTTCAAAGGGGTGTAATGCAGTTACTTTTGAAAAATGGCCATCTTTGAAAACAGTGAGCATTAAATATATTTGAGACAGAAGGATGAGTAATTTCTTATGTATAGTTAATTATAAGCAGTACTTCGATGGAGTTTAAGTATTTTTTCATCACTGAAAGGATTTTTCTTATTACTAAACTGTATTTGATAATTGCTTCAAGTTGTAAGGACAATTGTATGCAGAAGGCCGTCGATACTGTGAGTGTTTTGACCCACTGAAGGTTGTTTTTTGGAAATCCTGTAATATCCCTTTTGAGGTAGTTGTACTTGTATCAACTAGGGTGCTGGACAGTAGAAAACTTGCTTTGTCAGTCAGATATGTACACACAGTAAATACTGTTTCTTAGGCAAAGGAAAGTTTTTATATAGTTGTAAAATTCCATTATATCCCATTGCCAAAGAAACATTACAAACTTTGTATAGCTGTATAAAAAGCAACTAATTTTTTAAAGAATAAACATTTTTAAGTCGGCAAACATACTGTGTTATTGCAGAAGTTGATATGCTGAAGAACACTGAAGTAGTTGGGTTTTTTTCTTTAGCAGCTTTTCAGGCTTAAATGTTTGATTTTATATTTGGACTATAATGAAGTTTTGAAAATGTTCTTCCATTACACAAAACTGGATACACGCTTCACTGCTCTTGCAAGAATTTGATTTTGTAGTTTCTGGCATATCACAGGATTTGACCAAGTTAAGGAGATATTTTCAAAAAAGGAGAAAAGGAATTTTCATATGTCAAGATTTGCAATTAATTTTACTTAGTGAGAAATATTAACTTTTTTTAATAATGGGCCAGGCACGTGAGTTGGTGATTCTCCTGGAGTGCCTGGGAAGAAAGTCTGTCTCCATTTGTCAATTCTTGAAATGTTAACTTTGTTGTAATACCTGTAGACATGAGCAATTTAAAGAATTCTTAGTGTTTGAAGTTGTTTGCATTTTGATAGACCGTAGCTTGGAGACAGTGAGACTCTGGTTGTGAGACTGCCAGGTCACAAATGACAGAGTATGGACTTCTGGCTAATTCTGGATGAGTAGTTACAACTTTGATATGCTGAAATAGAAACCTGGTCATTTGTGTCTGTGTATGTAAAAATGAAGGCCACAGGAATAAAGGGATCCAAAGATTACATCACTTTGATCTAATTTGCTGATTTTTTAATTTTTTTTTTTTACTTAAAAATGTTCAGTGGTGATAAAGATGTGGAAAACTGCACTGTTGAAAAATTGGAATATTTAAAAGTGGTTGATAGAATCTTAATTTTATAACTTTTGTATAGCACTACAAGGAAGTATTTTGTAATTGGTTTCCTTATTAAGGTCAAGTATTTGACAGCTGTAGAAGTTAGGTAATATTGTTTAGTAATGTTTTTTGCATGTTAACAACTGCCTTTTGGGATCCACAAGTCATGATTCTGAACACCTGTTGAGGTTTTTGACCGTAGAGGCAAGTGCTGTCCTGTTGCAATAACTCTTTACTGTCTGAGGTGTTCCAGCTGTAAATACCGGGCCGGGAGCTGCGGCCGGGGCCAAGCCTGGGTGTCCCTGCCGCGCCCGGCCAGGCTTTCTGTTTTTTTTTTTTTTTTATTTTAAACCAGAATAAACTGTTCAATAGAAGCTCTTGGGCGTTGTTTGTCGTGCCGAGGGCTCCGAGTGCGGTTTGTGCCGAGGGCTGGGCCTCAGGCGGTTCCGGGGGCGGGGGGGCTGCGGCGCGTGCGCGGCCCCGTCAGCCAATGGGAGGCGGCGGGGGCGGGGCCGCGGGGAGCCCCTCAGGCGGCGGCGGCGCCGCCATGTCCGTGGCGTTCGTGCCCGAGCGGCTGCGGGGAAAGGCAGAGGTGAACCAGGACACCCTGCAGAGGGTGAGCGCCGGCACGGGGCTGACCGGGAGCGGGGCTGAGCCGGGATTGGGCCGAGACTGACGGGACGGGGCCGGGATTGAGCCTGGACTGGGCTGGGACGGGGCCGGGATTGAGTCTGGACTGGGCTGGGACGGAGCCGGGACTGAGGGGACTGGGCCGGGATTGGAACTGGGACTGAAGGGAGTGGGCCGGGATTGGAAGCGGGACTGAAGGGACTGGGCCGGGATGGAGCCGGGATTGGAGCAGGGAGTGAGCCGGGACTGTGCCGGGATGGAGCAGGGACTGAGCCGGGACTGGGCGGTCGGGGGCCGGGGCCGGCTGTGCCGGGGCGGGCGGTGACCGCGCTCTGCCCGCAGCTGCTGGAGGAGAACGACCAGCTGATCCGGTGCATCGTGGAGTACCAGAGCAAGGGCCGCGCCACCGACTGCGTGCAGTGAGTGACCGGGGCGGGCGGGGCCGGGGACGGGAGGGAACGGGGCTCCCGGGCCCAGAGCTTTAGCACCGCGAAGAAAATGCGTCCGGGCTTATGAAGGGACTTCATCAGAATCATTGTCACAGATGTATAAAGCAAAGCTGCCCCCGACGGAGTGACCCCGCCGGCTCCGTGAGGGTGTTCGCTCAGTGTCCTGTGACAGCGGCTCTGCGGGCTCTGCGCGCCCCGTGTGTGACACACACCCCGAACAAGAACACGCTTCCCCTGATTTACTGTTCTAGTTTGCTGTTTCTTTACCGGTTAGCAAATCCTGATCAGATTGCAGAAGTAACAGGTGTGGGTAGGTGGCTATAAAAGAGCAGTTACCCAGATACTGTGTTTCCTTCTCTCACAGGTACCAGCATATCCTGCACAGAAACCTCATTTATTTAGCCACAATTGCGGATGCCACCCCGCCCAGCACACAGAAGACTGCAGACTGACTGACACCTGCACAGAGCACTGCTGCTTTCAGACTGTAGAAATACTTAGTTTAGAGTCCAGCTTTGTGGTCTTAAAAGGCAGGTAAAAAGTGATCTGTACTTGTGTGTTTAAAATGTGACTGTATGTAGTATTAGGCTAGCTCTTCCTCTGTTACGGTAATCAACACAGCTTAAGGGTGATTAATAATGATCACAGTGCCTTTTTCCCCTCTGAAGAACTCAGTGCAGTGTACTTTGAGCACAGGCAGACAGCACTGCTGGAAGCAGAGCCTGTTTTATGACTAAGGTTCTGCAGTAACAGGGTAAGCACTTCACCAGGTGACTGCTACCTCCAGCATGTGTTACCATATATAGAGCCATTTGTGTTCTGTATCAGAATTGTGCTGAATAAAGATGTTCTTTGTAAACTGTAGTATATTGTGAATTAATGTAACATGTTAACAAAGGAGCAGCTCAGTGATTCAATGAAACAAATGTTAACTTTCCTGGGAACGAGGGGATTGCTGCACTTCAGAGCAAGGGACAAACCCAGCCTTTATTCCAGCGAGCCCCACCTGTCAAGGCTTTTCCTCTGTGCTGGGAATGCCGTGTACTGCAGACTCTGAGCAAGTGAATTCTTGCACCATCCAGGTGGGTTCACGTGGCTGCTGCGTCTCTGTCAGCACTTGTGTCCAGCTGCCTGTTTGTCCTCACCCCCAAGGAGCACAGCAGCCCTGCCCAGCCTGGATGTGGCACTGCAGTGCCACTGTAACATCAGCTGAACTGAGAGCCTTGACAGTCGTGGGCAGGGGGGTGGAGTTCACTGTTGCTCACTCCCATCACAGTTATTTACTCTGTGACTGCTAAAAACACGGGTGAAGTTGGCAATGTTCATCTGCACTACGGGGCCAAAGCCCCTGCTGAGGCACTGTCTGTGCCAGGTCCTCCAGTGCCATCTGCTTGAGAAAGTAGCTTTAAAGATGCTTCAAATTGTACAGTGCATAAAGTTTGTTTTTATATGATGAGTCAGTAAGTAGGCAGTTGACAATTTTCAAACTGTTAAATAATCCCATGTTAATGAAATAAGATCTTTGTTTACAAACCAAAGTTACAGTTTAAGGTGCTGCTCATTTTCAGCAAGGTGCATATTTTAAACAGGTATGACCTATTAAATGTATATCTTTAATAAAGCAAATAGTTTACTTTTACAGAAGCTTTAAAATACAAACTGTACAGTTCCAGTTCAGAAGCATTAGCTATTCACAAGAAGCACTGCAATAAGGGTAAGTTAACTAAGCACCAAACCCTTGCACTTGGCAGTGTAAGTGAAGTTTAAGGGCAAGACTCATTTGCCAAGTGCAACAATTCTTAAAATTACCAGTGTTCAGAACAATCGGAAGCAAAGGACAGAGTAGCACCCACGTGGTCAAAATGCAGACAAACTTTCTTTGTTTTCACTGATGTAGGTCCAGGAACTTGACAGCATTTGTAATTATGAATAAACTGCAAAAACTAGAGCAATCATTTTGGCACTTGTTAGAAAAAAGTTCAAAATTAAGTGTTTTCATTAACTTCCATTTTGGTCTTAGTATGAATAATCAGTAAGTACAACCAAATTTAGGGTTTAATATTAGATCTAAACGACAAGATTTAGGAAACTCAAAACCATTCATCAAGTTAAATAACCACTAACATTTTCAGTGGAGGGTTTTCAAAATTATAGTAGTACAGACCATTAACAATTTACAGACAGAAGCCACACTGATTGTGCAAAGCACATTACTGTAAAAAGTCTATGTACAGCAAACAAATCTTTGTAAACATGGTAAGTATGAAGTTTCAGAAAACATGGTGACAATATCATAAATACAGGCAACATTGGCATCCTCAAACAGCACAAAAGGTAACAATCTGGGCCTGCAAATAGAGCCCGTCACCATACAAACAAAAAAGGTGGATGGGTTTGAAATACCCAAATGTTTAATAGTTTTAGTGTTGTGTATACTTTATATATATATATATATATAATGTATTTATTTTTTGGTATCTTTAGATATAGATGTAATTAGTTTGTAAAACCAAAACCAACAAATGTGCTTTATCTTCATTGAAAAATTATGTAGTTAGAACTAATAACCCATTTTACTAGTAGTTAACATATTAGAATGATATGACTTAAGAAAAATACAAAAATAAGATTAATACTGTCAAAACTCTTATACCAGAAAATATTGTGGTTTTTAGACTCTTTCAAAGATGAAATATGAAAATTTAAATAAGCTCTAACTATATAAAGAATCTTCTGTAATCTCAATTCATATACAGTGGGATAGCTATACATATATTTACCATTGTTCTTCAATTTTTAAGCACCAGTCACTCTCCCGGATCCACTTTGGTTGGAAGATTATTCCTAATTCCACAGGTTCACTTAATGGCACATATTGACTGCAAATAATTACTTTATCCTTTTAAAAAAAATAATGTTCTTTTAACTAACTGCTACCCCACGTTTCAGTTTTAGTATCTTCTGAGCCAGCTCACAATTTTTAATCAACTGTAGCATCTGAAATAAGACTTTAAATAAAAGCAAGTAGTCTCTTAGGCTTTGCTTTCACACACTGCAGGAGCCCCGTGTGGGAACAGCTCTGGCCAAACACTGCCTAAGGAACAGGGTGTTCCAGACCCGGAGTCTCGGCAGCCACACAGGTGCCATCGGCTCCCAGCAGCTCAGGAACGTTTGCACCCAAGGCTCTGCTGATCTCGGAGTGAGAAACTGCCACAAAACTCAGATTGCAACTGTTCCTGCAGCAGTTCCCCAGTGAACTCATTTGTGTGGCACAGCAAAAGCTGCTGCTGCACTTCATTTAAAAAAAGCTGCCCACGGGCCATAATGAGAATACAAAGGCTCTACAGCTCGTCCTTTATAAATTTAAACACAAACAGTGTTGAGCAAAGTGACCACTATATATTTGCTCCAACATATTCAATGTGTTTCAGTAAGATGTTTAACTATAAATCTATATGAAAAATAGCTATAAAATACAGTGTTTCTTGTATGGTAGTCCTTCAGCAGTTCTTTTTAGAAAAAAAAATGTTTTGAAAGTAAAGGCAATATACACATTTTTAAAAGCATTTCTACATCACAGTTTTGGGCTGTTTCATGTCCACCAACAAACATATTGGCCACATTTGCTCAGCACTGTCAATCACAACTCGAGAGTTTGTCTGTCTCCCCCAAACCCCTTCAGCTCCCCGTCAGTGAGATCACCAGGACACAGCCAACACCCCCTGGGCTCGGAAGCTGCGCCGGTCCCGTCTGGCCTGTGCTGCTGTGCAGGAGGAACAGTCAGTACTGGGGCAGGTACGATGGTCTGCGCTCGTGCTTCACCGGGAAGGATTTGAAGCCCTTGTTGATCTGTTTGTGCTGGGAAGCCTGTTGGGATTGTTGCTGCTGCTGCTGCTGCGCGAAGGCGAAGCCGGAGGAGATGCCGGCGGCCGGGGCGCAGTCGTTGGCCCAGAGGGGCGAGGGCAGGAGCTGCATCGTGTCACTCCACTGGCTCACGGGGCTGCCCAGGGGGTACAGGGACGAGCTCTGGCCGGGCAGGGTGCCCGTCACCGAGGACGAGTGCTGCCACGGCGCCTTCGGGGGCCACGTTTTGGTCTTGCTGTCCTGAGAAAACAAAACCAGCTGGGTTTGTTTTCTTTCGATACCAACACATTTTTTTTTTGAGACAATACTTGACACTTGTCCCCTCCTTAAGACATTTTCAGAAGGTTTCACAGACTTGTGGGTCCCTTCCAACCCGGAATATTCTGTGACATCCAAGCAGCAACCACAAGGATCATCAAGGCCAGCTCTTCAGTGAATGGCCCATACAGGGATCAAACCACAACCCTGGTGTTACCAGCACCATGTTCTAACCAACTGAGCTCATCTCAGGGTCATAGCTTACATTTGAAAGCAGAATGGATGCCTGGAAAGCACTCTGGATTCTTAACACATCTGCCTGTTAAAAACCCTTTGAATTTACTTCAGCATGACACAGAGTGGTCCCAACAAACGGGAAAGAATTAAGTCATTTCCAATTTTAATATTTAAATTTGGTGACTTTGCCAAAAGCATCTTGTACTCCTCGAGTGCAGATGGTTTGGGGTTTTGCTGAAGTAACCGATCTGGAGATCCAGATGCTGTTCCAGCTGTTTTCCCAGTGCAGACCCCCCACACAAAGAGGAGCAGGGCCCGAGCTGAGCTCACCTGGCTGCGGTCATCGGCTGCAGACAGGAGGGGAGGCAATGGCAGCGTGCTGGGCTCCTGCTCACCACTGCTGTGCTTTCTGCCCAGAGAGAGAGGGACAGTCACTGGTGGTTCTTCAATGACACCCCATCACTGTGCCCCTGGCACAGCCCATTCCTGCTCTCAGCCTGTCACACCCCACAGTGGCTCCTGCTGTTTTCAGGTACTTTTTGCTCCGTACAGGCAAAGGCAGCAACAGAAAGAACCTGATCCCTGAGCCCTGGCAGGGAATGGCACTGCAGCACCTCTTGGAGCTACAGCTTCAGCAAGGTTTGTGTAGAGGTGAGCAGAAGCTGGGTTAGGCTTTTGCCCACCTGGAAGAAATCTGCCAGAAATTGCCTTTTCTGTCACCTGCTCTCATGGTTTGTGTTTCTTTGGGCTTTTTTAAGTATGTTTTCTGAAACAACTTTACAGACAAGATAAAAGAAGAGTTGAACAAGTGAAGCATCTGCTGAAGCACAGTGACTTGACCAAAGAAAAACATTCCACCTTCAGTTTAAATTTGTGACCTAACACCTGGTATCAAATAGAAATCCTTGACCATGTGGGCATTCTGAAAGATTTTTTTAGTCTTGTGTTTTGGATTTTTTTTAAGGGGTGGGATTAGATTAAAGCAGAATCTTTTATTTCATCCTTTCCTTAACAAAACCCAATCAGCATGCTCCACCCATCAGGCCTCCATGGGTAAGCAGCCCTTTGCAGGTCAGCTTGAGCACACCCAACCCTTTTGCCTTCTCCTGCTGCCCAGGTTTAGCTCTGGTATTTTGTCAGGCCCTCAACTGAAGAACATTTTTCTTCCTAAAAGGAACACAAGACAGTAGTATTGTTACTTCAGCTGAAGTTTTTGTTCAGTGAAGCACCCTCCTTGGGAACTTCCTTCTGCTTTTCAGAGCTCTACATAAAGCACAGGCTTTTCTTGTTCTTGCTCCATGAGTCACTCCATGATCCATCTCTAGCTGTCTGCTGGATTGGCAGGTTAATTCACCCCTTAGGTGCTATTGTATTTTCCTTCCCTGCTGCTTTTTTAAAAAAATACAAATAATTACTTTTTCTGTGATGTTTATGTGTTGGCTCTCTTCCATTAACTTCAGTTTAGCATCCACTGAAGCTCAGTTCCTGTTCCCTCTCTATAAAGT